CAGAGGAATATGTTCCAAACAAAAGAACAAGATAAAACCCCAGAAACAGACCTTATTAAAACAGAAATAAGTGAATTACTTGATAAAGAGTTGAAATAATGGTCATAAACAATATGGAAGTTCCTCAAAAAACTAAAAATAGAACTACCATATCATTCAACAAGTTCACTTCTTGGCACTCATTCAAAGGAAACGAAATCACTATCTTGAAAAGCTATCTGCACCGCCCCGTGTTCATTGCAGCATTATTTACAATAGTCAAGGCATGGAAACAATCGACATGGATAAAGAGAATATGAGATATATATGTGTGTGTGTATATATATAACATATGAATATGTATAATATTTTTCATCCATAAAAAAGGAGGGGTCCCCTGGTGGCGCAGTGGTTGAGAGTCCGCCTGCCGATGCAGGGGACACGGGTTCGTGCCCCGGTCCGGGAAGATCCCACATGCCGCGGAGCGGCTGGGCCCGTGAGCCATGGCCGCTGAGCCTGCGCGTCCGGAGCCTGTGCTCCGCAACGGGAGAGGCCACAACAGTAAGAGGCCCGCGTACCACACACACACACAAAAAGAAGTAAATTCTGTAATTTGTGATGTCATGCATGGACCATGAAGGCATTATGCTAAGTGAAATAAGTCAGACAGGCAAAGACAAATACTGTATGATCTCATCCACATGTGGAATCTTAAAAAAAAAAAAAATGGACTCATAGCTAGAGAACAGATTAGTGGTTCTCTAGCTATGGTGAAGTGGATGAGAACAGCTAGGGCATAGAAGAGGGGCAGGATGGATGAAGGTGGTCAAAAAGTACAAATTTCCAGGTATAAGATAAATCATTCTGGGATGTACTGTACAGCGTAGTAACTATAGATAATACTGCTATATCATATATTTGAAAGTTGCTAAGAAAGTACTCTTAAAGGTTCTCATCACAAGAAAAATAATTTGTACCTATGTGAAGAGATAAATGTCTACTAAACTTATCATGGTAATCACTTCATAATATATACATATATCAAATCATCATGCTGTTACACCTAAAGCTAATACAATACTATATGTCAATTATGTCTCAATAAAATTGGGGGTGGGGGCAGAGAAAGACTCATTAAGATTGCTCAGGAAGAGTTTGTTAAGTAAAAAGAAAGAAAATTAAGAACTCAACTTTAAGAGGAGAACAGAAGAGGAATGCTAGCAGGACAGATGGAGGAACGATATGAAATTTTAAAGAAAAACTTGGAGAGAGTTATGTCTTAGGAGTTAGAATAGAGAGAAGTTTAAGAAAAGAGGGATAAATAAAATGCATGGAGAAGCTAACCACTGAATTTAGCATTTCTGAAATAAAGAGGTTTTCAAAATAGGTGTGAAGGCAAAATTTATTGCAATGAAACACTAAAGAAGCAGGAAGAAATGTAAAGGATTCTTTCAGTTTATCTGCTAAAAGAGAGACTGTAACATTTAGAAGAGGATATGGTGCAATTTATTTTTCAGATAAGATTAAAAATAAACTTAGACTCTGGAGAACCAACTAAGGTAGGAAATCACAAACTCGAGGTGGAACAAAACACAAATGTAAGTGCCTGAACTGACCCAAGTTGCAGATTTGTAGGGCAGAGGCAGCAGAGAAATATCCTAACTCATCTCTCTGCCTTCTAACTCCCAATCCATTCTATACTGCTGCCAGATTTATCCTAAAATATGCAATATTTCCCTGCTCAAAAAATGTCAATGGCTACCCATGGCCCATAAAAGCAAGTCCAAATTCCACGGCCTACCAGTCAGGATTTTTATCATCTGGCCATAACTTGCGTTTGCAGCTATTTCTCACCACTCCTCTTGGAGCATCCTACACTCAAGTCATGGTTGCTTACCTTTGATTCTTCAACCATTTCTAGCAATGTGATCTACACATATTGCTTTCCACTCCTCAAGGTCCAGCAAGAATGCCACCTCTACCATGGAATCTTTTATAAAAGCCCAAGTTAGAGTCTCTGTCTTCTCAGATTCCCTGTTAGCATTACCTAGGAAATTTATTATAATCTACTTCTAAAACAATAATTTCTGTATTTCTTTTCTCCTTAAAAGAGACATAAGTTTATTTTTTACAATCCGCGGTTTCTAACAGAGTGCCATGCACATACTGTAGATTTAATAATGGTTGCTAACTGCTTAGAGAATTTGAAAACTTAAGGTTAGTCCTATAATAATATAAATTCTTGAAACTGAAGACGATACTATTTCATACTCAGCAAAAATCAAGAGTGTAATCTAAGACTAGCTATATGTATTGAAATGGCACATAATATTTCCTAAAAATAGCTGACATGCTACAAATTAAAGATAATAATAAAGCAATCAAAAAAATTTTAGTAAAGGGATAAAAAAGAAACTTAGAGAACTGCTGCTCAAGCCATGACTCAATAATTAATTTTGTAAAAAGTAGTTTACAATATTTTGACAGGGTCATAAATTTACATGTTCTTTATTCAAATTTTATAAGAAAATTTCACCTTAGAAAATAAATTCATGTCAGAATTTATGTCAGCTTCTTAGGAAATCAATGAATGTAATGTAATTTTCTATATTTTTTTGAATGATCATGAAGTATCTTCAACTAATATTTATCGAGTGCCTACTTTATGCCTAGCTTGGTACTAGGTACATTCACAAACGATATCTTATTTAATATTCAGAACTGTCCTGCAAAATAACTACATTAGTATCCCCATTCTGCAGGTTAAGACATTTGCTCAGAGATTTCTGGCTTGCCAAGTACTATACAACTAGAATCTAATAGATTGAACAATCTCCACATCCATTGAGCTTGCTAATGACAATAGCTGAGCATTTTTGTGTGTGTGTGGCCACCAAAAACAAAGATTCATTATGATTCATTTTATTTGCTCTGGCTAAAATGTGTACCCTGAAGTGTGGAAAGATTAGCAACAAAAGTTAAAGCAAAAGAGTCAGATGTTTAAACTTGGTCTTCACCTTTCCAGAAAATCCAGTTAGCCAATCCATTTTCCCTGAGCATACTACGTAATCAACATTTTAATGCATACACAGCAACTTAGCCTAAGGCAAAAAAGTATTTTCTATTAGAGGGCCTAGGGGAATTATTTTAATAGAAGAGAATGGTTTATCATAATCATCAGCCTTGTTTATATGTAATTTATGCTTCTAAAGTATTTGAGGTCATTTTAAAGCATTTTTTGAAGTATTCTAAGCAAACTCTGCCCCTCTAATTTCTATAATTAACATTGTTTTCATAGCTACTTTAAAAAGGTTTTGCTAAACAAAATAGACCTTCAATCCTGCTATGTCCAAATAATCATAAATTTCAGTTAATGAGCTATTTATTTACTTGTTACAACTGTTTAGCATTCTACACGATGCTTTTCAATATGGCATGCATTTTACTCAAGTGGATTTCAAACAGCTATCTCTATCTTACAGATAATTCAAAGCAACTTGATAATCACTAAATAAGATTTTCCATACTTCACATTTGATACAGATTTAGCATATTACTACCTCTATATTGTGTTGAATGTGAATTTCGTTAAACCTGAAAGCACATAGCTGTTTCTCCCTTCGGGCAATACCACCGGGGGAAAATTCTGTGTGTAAAGGTCTTTCACAGAAACTTGTGTTCTTCACTTGTGGTATTAGACATGAATTGTTTAAAATTCTGATAGCTTATTGCAGCACAAGCTACTTGGATTCATAGAAACAGCTCTGAATTCTTTGTCTTTTACTGCAGTCTCCTGAGAAGTGCAGCTTTTCTTTTTTGAACCTCCTCTTTGTGGTTCGTAAACATGAGGGCTAAATCTTGTTGAGAAAAATGCTTGTTGGGTCTGCTGTGTGTTTCTGCTTATTTTCTAAGCAGAGGCACCAACCACCTTTCTTTAGGACTAGCTCTTCAAGGATGTTTACGTAATGAAGAGATGGTATCTCCCTCCAGAGGAAAACTGCAGGTTTGTTTACTGTCCAGGATAATAATGATGACAGCCTCCAGGGCAAAGATCAGACAGGCCTACAGCCCATAATAAAAGCTCTGGCTTTCTAAACTTGAGGTCCCTCTCAGGTAATGCCACCAACCCGTGCACATGTCACCTGACCCTCCTCACATCACACTTTGGGAACAGGGCTAGGAGAAATGGCACCAAAATGTTGATACTCTGGCAGTTGCTGTTTTTGAGAGTGCCAAGTGTCTTTTTTCTCTGAACTGGAAACCTGCGTCTGCCAACATCCCTAAAACTTTATCAGGCTGACTGAGTAGCTCGCAGGTAAGGTAACACAAGCTTCCCAGTTTGTGTTAGTTGGTAACAATTTCAACCAGATTGTGTTATCTGGCTACTCACTTTCAAGAAACAAAATCATACTCAGGATGCCTATCTTCCTAACTATCTGAGCTGGCCAGTCTAGCATTCTTGCCTGACTCGCCAAGAAATCTGCCATCTTCTTAGTGCAAAACTCAGCTATCACTTAGCTTTTTCTTTTTTTTCATGATCTTTCCCTTTGTCCTCTAGTGACAGACTTGATCCATGTTCCCTTCCTACTAATTCTTCTTTAAACAAAGAGAATTTACGGCTTGTCTGCTTTGAGGTGAGAAAAACGCAATTTTTCTGAAGATTGCCCATTCCTTCTATAAATCACTAACATCCAATCCATTTACCATTTCATCGTTTATATGATTTGATCTAATCAGATGACCAGTCCTAATCTGATGTGAACATTCCCGCGTTCTCAGCAGATTGTTCTAAACTAATAACCCGGCATGATTTCAAATTTTATCAACAACTCATTTTACGTCTTACCTAAACTCTGTCTTGATTATAAATATATTTAGCACAATTAATTGCTTTAATTCTTAAGAGACTAATCTTTCATATGTATTTTCTTCAGAAAGCATCCAAGTAGTTATCGACATTTTCCAATATTGGATTAAGTCCTTCCTAGGGTGGGGTGTTCAGAGGGCAGATATTATCTCACCTTAAAAATATACTTCACATGAATAGTACTGCACCGAATATCTAATTTTTCAAGTAATTTCAGAGTTTTTTCTAGGGTAATTTTTCCACATTTAAAGTCATCCCGAACCATGGACAAAAACCATGTACGAAGGACACCAAAAAAAGAAGTTAAGGAAATTCTCACAGAAAGTCATTAAGTACTTAAAATGACTAAAGAATATTTTACCTCTCTTCAGTTCAATGTTTTTATTTTCAGTGGAGAGTCTATCTCAGGCTTAAATGAGAAAACAATTTTATGATAAATAATATTTTTAAAAAACTAAGTAGGCACTACTCTGTGGTAAAGGTATGAAAGGGTATAACACAATAAAAATTACAGGAAAACAATAAAAATTAACATTTGAGAAATCAAGCTATTACTTGGGAAATACAGTCTATCTTCTGAAGATGTGAACTTGGGAGACAGCTGAACATCAAAACTTGATCTCTCTCAGCATTAGTTTCCTCATCTGAAAAGTGGTCAAATTAATACTTCCAGAAGGTGGGGGCATTAAATGAGTTCAAACCATGTCTGATATGATTATTACCACTACATTAGGCAAATGTCAGGCTACACGCATGCCCCAAAAAAGCAACATTTTAAGGACCATAAAAAAGAGTAAAAAAAGAAATGTCACGGTGTCTATTTAGTATGAAAGAGAAGATGAAAATAATCAAGCTTGCTTATTATCTACAGAGAAACTACAAAAATTAGGACACTTCAAATTGAAAAACTAAGGTTAAGAAGAATTAATACGACTGTCTATAAAATCGTGAAAGGTATTGGTAAAAATTGTTCAACAACACACTCAATTTCAGATTGTTAGAACTAACTGGAAACCCTTCAAACTAATGGCAATGACTTAATACGGCAAAGCTCATGTTATTATAAGAAAAAGATACAGGAAGCTAGGGAAACTCAGAAAAGCTCAGGGCAGAAAGGGAAGCAGTTTTTGCTCAAATGAGAGAAACTTAAGTTCAGAACTCTTCAAAAAGAATGAGAAAAGAAACAAGGAAAGGGGATAAATCGAAAGAGGAAAGAGGAACAGAAAGCACTCTGAGTGGATATTTGTTCTCCATATTTTCATGACCTGCAGTTCCGTTTCTCCTCACTTAGAAGTTTCTCCCCATTATGAGTTGCCACAAGTTCCAAATATAATTAACTCTGCCCCTTTGCAGGAGAGGGATTTCTTGAAACTCATCCACTGATGCCACTGCCCCTTTTCTAGAAAGAAAGCAGAAAACACAGTGGTTTGTTACCTTTGTTCTTTGGAGTTAGCTCAACACTTAAATCCCACAGAAACCATATGTAACATATGGTCTCCTCACTTCACTGCCCTTAAAACTTTCTGGTTTCTTGCTTATGTTATGACCATTTCCAAACCCACAATGTTTATAAATGAGGCATCTCTTGCTGTCTGGCATTTTCCCATGAACTGCCATCGTACCTCATTTTATTTTTACTGTTTTGTTTAAACCCCTCAAACCTTTCAGCATAGCATGCTTCCATTGGGTTGGGAACAGTTATTCTGAGGGCCTGATTATACATCAATGCCATTGTGGTCCCCAAAAGGTGCAAAGGGTTGCCAGACACTCTCTAGAAACTCTGGGCTGCTTCTCTAGATCCCTGACAACATATAATGCACACAGAGACACACCACTTTTGAAGAAGGCTGTTCTGGAGGCTAAGTTCTTAAAATCTTCAAAATTCTTATAGCTGGTTGGCTGGGCACCATGCTGTCAGGTGACTATCATGTTTTTCTTTTGGTCTGAACACCTAATGTGATATCACTGAAAGTTCCATACTTCATAGAGAAAGCTTCTTTATGACTTCATCAGGAGACTCAGAGCTTGCCAAACAACCTGTTTTTTCATGTTCAGACATGGTAATCTTAAGCTGAATGTGTAACACCTTGATGGGAAGGTTGTCCCATAGAATGTTTTCTCATCTTTGAACACTATTTATTTCAGAAGCTCTGCTTCTGCTACAACCAAACATGTCACTTAGCGATCTGAGTAAGAAAGAGAAAGAAAAAGTCATTCTCAGACTGTTAATGCAGGCTCCTCCAGGGGAATTTGTAAATGTCTTTGATGATCTCTGTCTGCTTATCCGTGATGAAAAACTCATGCACCATCTAGGTGAGAGTGCAGGCCACCAACTCTGCCAAAAATATTACGTCCCACTCTCCATCGATGGGAATGCGGTCCTCCTGTCTCACCACAACGTAGTGGGTAACTACCGATTTTTTGACTACCAGAGCAAACTTTCTTTCAAATTCGACCTGCTTCAAAACCAGTTAAAAGACATCCAAAGTCACGGCATCATTCTGAATGAGACGGAGTACCTGAGGACTGTTGTTCTGTGCGCCTTAAAGCTGTATGTGAATGACCACTATCCAACGGGGAACTGCAATGTGCTGAGAAAAACAGTGAAAAATAAAGAGTTCTTGATCGCTTGCATTGAAGATCACAGCTACGAAACAGATTACTGGAATGGCCTTTGGAAATCGAAATGGGTTTTCCAAGTCAATCCATTTCTAACCCAGGTAACAGGGAGAATTTTTGTGCAAGCTCACTTCTTCAGACGTGTCAACCTTCATGTCGAAATCTCCAAGGACCTGAAAGAAAGCTTGGAAGTAGTTAACCAAGCTCAACTGGCTCTAAATTTCACGAGGCTTGTGGAAGAGCAAGAGAATAAATTTCAAGCTGCAGTCTTAGACGAATTACAGGAGTTATCAAACGAAGCCCTAAGAAGAATTCTACGAAGAGATCTTCCAGTGACCCGCACTCATATTGACTGGCAGAGGATACTCTCTGACTTGAATCTGGTGATGTATCCTAAATTAGGATACGTCGTTTATTCACGAAGTGTGTTAGGCAACTGGATTACATAAAGGATTGCTCATGGTAACTGTCTTGACATGATTACTTTGTTTCAGGGGGGCGGGGAGGGTGGCAGAGGTTATTTGCCTAAAGTTGAGAAGCCACTAGACATGCCTGTCACTTTGCAGATGCAAGTTTTGGGGGGTTTGTTTGTTTTTTTTGAGGGGGGGATGGCTGGTCACATCACACAGCTTGCGGGAACTTGGTTCACCGACCAGGGATTGAACCTGAGCCTTCAGCAGTGAAAGAGCAGAGTCCTAACCACTGGACCTCCAGGGAATTCCAGATGCAAGTTTAAATTAGGGACAAGTCTACCAAATCATTTTATTCAAGGAATATTTACCAGTAAGTCAAGAAAATGATGATGGAAATGTATTTAATGGTAGGGACCATCATAAAGCCAGAAACACTTTTAGAACCTAAAATGGTTTTATAGAATGTGGCACCCCAGAAGTATTAATAGAGGTGGCCAGGGTTAAGGCTGTGTATGTGTGTGTGCTTGTGTGTGTGTGCAGGAATGACTTTTGACTTTCTTTGTAACTAGAGAAGGTACGCAAATGAAAGTCATTCTGCGAATGGTACTTCACCTAACTCAGTTCAGTCCTACACCAACCCTGAGGGGGTAGATTTCAATAAGTAACATTAAGGTTGGATGTTCCATGAAACCAACAGATATCAAAAATCTAGCTCATATGAAGGACTACTGGATCCATAGCCATCCCCCGCAAACACACAATAATCTGGAATTACTCCAGTCCCCAGGCTTTTCTGATACCTAACATGGTCTTCGAAGAATCAACTGGAAAAGCTTGACTCCCAAGCTTATATAGTCCAGCTCTTGTGAAGTCATCACTACAAGCATACATAAGTGCTTATTTCATGCTGGACCTTGTGCTAGATGATTTACACACAATTTCTCATCATTAGGCTGCTACTAGTAGTAACCCCATTTTACATGAGAAGAATCTAAGACCTGAGTTGGTTAATTCACACAGGCACATAGTAGGTGGTGGGTGTGACTCTACCTCTAACACTCTTAACCTCTAGGGTATTGCAGCTCTCTGTGGAGGCCTGTTTGCTTGAGACTTGTGAATTCTACCCTGCAATGACTTACATGCCCTAGGCAAGCATTTCACGCAAAGGATACTCCCAAAGGAACTGGAACGGGTGGGCTGCTGTTTTCTAGCCAAGCTGTCCCCTATCACTAGTCCCAGCAATGTTACTGACCACTTGTGTCTACTCTCAAAGAAATCCAAATCTAAACCTCCCTAATAAGACTGCAGTCGAGCAGTAGATGGGTCCCAGCCCCCAAGTCCAACTTATCAGGGAAGCAAAGTGCTTTATAGTTTGGATCCATGCAATTGAAAAAAGGTCTACTTTTACTTAATAAACATTGGAGCAAGTGTTTATTAAGGATCCTAAGCAAAAATGTCTAAATCTCAAACTTCTTTTCCTCAACTTGTAGATCTTAGAGAATCTCAGAGGATTACCTAGGGTGTATCATTAAAACTGTAACTTTCCAGTACCCATCCTCAGATTCTGATTTAATAGGTCAGAAAAATCTACATTTTAAACAAATATTGGTGATGATTCTAATGAGAGGGACTCCAGGACCACATTTTAAGATATATTGTTCTAATCTTAAACTAACACACCTTTATTTCTATTAATTGAGATCATTTCCTATTGTCCATTAAAGGCCATTTCTACTGCTTCACTGGGTTCACCATGCACAGACCAAGGACAGGCCTTCATCTGTCATGTTAAAAAATTAAGAAAAATCTTTCTAAAGAAAAGCAGCAAAGAAAATTGCTCTCATTGCCCTAAAATATACCCATCTGACAAATTATTTTGCAAAAATTTGAATTCATATTATGGTTATATATGTGTTGATTTTCCAGATCATTCCAGAGTAAGGCTTAATGTTTTATGGAACAATCACAGAAGCATTTAACACCCACTTTAACACAGGGTTTTAAAAATAAAATTTATTGGTATTTCTGGATATAAAAGTCACATGTGCAAATCATAGAAAATGCTTAAAGTATAAAGCATGTTGGCCAATTTCCTTCCATCCAATTTTATGGAATTGTTTTAAATACTAAGGATATACAGTATATAAAAATTTGTATCCTGTTCTTTTTATATAACCTCCTATATCATAAATATTGTCCCATGTCATTAAAACCCCTTGAGCACATAATTTTAATTATTTACATGATATTCATGCACAATAATAAGACAACCATTTCTCTATTCATGCATAATTTAAAATTTTAGCATTTTATTTTTGTTATTAATTAGGCTATAGTAACTCTGTGCATAAAGCTTTGCCCACATTATACATTATTTCCCTTAAGATAAATTCCCTATAATCACATGTTGAAAACAGATGAACATATTAATGCTCTAAATACATACTGCCAAATTGCTTTCCAGAAAGATTTAACAATTTATAATCCAGTTGGTAGCATAAAAGTATCTAGCTCACCACAGTAATCTTGACAATATTGAATATCAAATTTTTTCTCTGATAGGCAACAAATCTTAAAACAAAACGAGTAAAAAAAGGTATTTCACTAACTTATGCTACCCTATACCGAAAAGCATTCCCACAACAATATTATTTGGTAGTTACTTTCTTTATATGGAGGCTGGCATAGCCAGGAAAATCTACAGTTACTACCTTTTCTCGGAACCTTTATCTCACTCACACACACACACACACACACACACACACACTCTTACATTTAAACCCGCACTATGTGCCCAGGCATATACACACATACACACAAAATACACATGTGCCCAGGCATATACACACATACACACAAAATCCTTCAGATTCTGAAGACTCAGTGTGATATTTTTTTAATATTCCAGTATTCTCTCCCCCAATCCTATTTCCAGCTGGAATGTTAGCTCCATCAGAATCCGGACCTCGCCTATCCCAAGTATCTAGTCCATTATTGTCTGTCATATGGTAGGTACTCAGTGAATTAATGAGCAAAAGAACAAATAAATCATGATAATAGGTGCATAAAGCATGGTAGGCTTAACTAGCCTTAAGACTTTGTAAACCATAACTACTTGCTGCCTCTTTAGGAACGATGTATTCCTCTGCCGATTGCCAAGGCTGAGGTTGGGACTCTTCATTATAAGGCAGTTGACTGCATTCTGAAGCTGCTATTGGCTGCCTCCTGCTCTGATGAAAACCTTTGCTCTTTTCCCACTCCAAATGGAGAGAGATGTTTCCTCCAACAAGTTGAAGAAAATCAAGTTCTCCAAAAGTCATGTGCAGTATTTTTGGTAAATTTTACATGATCCTCTGTCAAAGATTTTTTACCCTTCCCTTTGGGGCGCTAGTCCAGAGCGTTAGTCAAATGACCATCTCATGTTCTGCTCAGAGATCCGTGGAGGGGTGTACACCCTGCAACTTCCCCCTATGTCAGGGTGAGTCCCGGCTGTTCTGGGATGTGCCTTAGCCTCAGGCTTGCCTTGAAGCTAAAACAGGCTTCAATCTTCCTTCTTTGTTGGTACCTTCACCACAGTGTACAAGACCCAAGTACTCCCTTTGTTATCTGAAAACTGGGTTAGCCTCTTGGTGGGTATCAAGCCAACAGACACAACCAAGCCAAAGATCTGGATAAGGAAGGATTTATTATTACTTTCAGCAATTAAGGAGAACACCAGGGATCCTTCCCAAAGCAGTGTCTCCCTGGACAGCAAAATTGGGAAGTTTTAAGCTAATGGTACATGCATATTCATGAAGGGGCTTGAGCAGAGGAGAATTCAGCATAGAATTGGGGCAGAGGTCCACTGAGTCCAAGCTTTAGTTGACTGAAGTAATGCCAGGAGGATCAGAAAAGGTCAACCTCATCATCCCTTAGATTCCAGTTGGTCTGATGGTTGAGGGGGGATTTAAATTCTGCAAACAGCTCAAGACTGTGCTTTAGGCTAGTCTTTACCATTGAAAGAGAACTGGGTGCCTAATAAGTTATCTTTGGGATTGTTAATTCTCTTGTCTGATAACAATCGCTTGTTTCTGCATTCTTTTGTTCCCTTAAGATCATGAATTGCTGAGACAAGGGCAAGCATGTGGCCAGGCTTAGATCATGAAATGCCTTAGGCAAAATATGACTTCTCTTATGTCAAGAAAGCTACACCTGGTTTTCTTTCCCCGGGGACCCCCTACCCTGTCTGCTTACAAAACCTATCTATCTCAACTCCACATCAGTCACTGATCTCTCATTCCTGATGAGCAATCAATTTATTCTTTTCTATTGACTCCCGTGGGCTTCTTCATGATATGCTTTCCAATTTTTCTGCTCTACTCAAGCTCTACTTCATCATTCCTTCGCTTAGTAAATGACTTTGTCCTTTACTAAGAAGACACATGCTTTCAAAAAGAGCTCCTACAGCTTCTTTTCTCTGCACTTAAAAACATATTTATTGTCTTCTCCCTCCAAACAGTCACCAAAGCAGTGTATGTTCCTTTCTGGGACTAATTCTTCTTCCTGTGCACCTGATTCTAAATCCTTGATCTTCTGTCATCCAGGCTCTTGATTCATCAGCTATTTTTATTCTTGACCCCTCACTTTCTTTATCCTCTCTTGGTTCCTCTCCTCTATAAGCAAACATACTCAGTTCCAATTATCCTAAAAAATCTTCCCCATGAATCTCTCAGGTCCTTTCACCATGAAACTTTTCAAAAGATTACCCTATTCTTAATTTTTTTCTGCTTCCTTACCACTTAATCTTTTCTTAAAGGAATGGATTTACTTAAGAGTCTTCTATGTTCTAGGCATTCTACCAAGCAATTTCACCTGCCTCGTTGAATCCTTATAAGAATCATACAACTGGGAATTATTTTTTACAGCTTAGGAACCTAAGAGTATTCTTAAGTAATTTTGCCAAATTGATACAGCTAGCAAGTGACAGAACTAGGATTCCAATTCAGGTCTGTCACACTTCAGAACTCCTGCCCTTTACACCACATCATGCTGCCTTTACTCTGCACCTTCTGCCTT